AATTATTAATAATTATTTATTTTTTATTTTTTATTAATTGTTTGCATTTTTAAATAAAATGTAATGTTATACAAAATCGCTTGAGCGAAATTACTATGACTCTATGGTACTTTTAAGTTCAACATTTATTATTCTTGATTTTTATAAAAAAAAATAGACGTAGAAGAACAATATATTTAATGATGGTTAGTCAAATTTTGGAACAATTTGATGCACACGTAGATATTATCATCAATGAAATATGGAATGAGTAAAAAAAAAATATATCCTACATATAATATTTTTAATAAGATATGTTTTAGACAACGTGTTCAAAAACAACAAAACAAACACTGTTATATAATGCAATAAGTATAGTTTTCACTCGGTAAAATATAGTAATTATATTTAAATTGATCGAAGTTCAATCTATTTAAAAGTGTTTTCTTGCAACATTAAATACATTATGACTTCTATCCACTTAAACAATTATTCAAACGATATCTGTGTATCTATATCTCTTTTATCATAATTATAAGATATCTGGGCAATATTTTGTTATTCATTTATTCGTAGTGAATCTAAATCGAGTTATTGTGTTTTGATTACGATAATGAACATAGAGTGCAATTTAATTATAATAAATGATTGAAATAATTAATGCGGATTTCGATGGTGAATAAAGTGGCGCGTGTCCGTTTGATAACCGATAAAAGGCAAGTATAATGTCGCCATCGTGGTACTTTTAATTAAATCGCGAGAGCGACAAAATAAAAGAAAAAAAAAGACAAAGTCAATTATGTACATTAATTTAAATTCCCACTGAACACACGACTCGTCGGTGTTTCCGCTGGCAGTGTAGACGGTGTTCTTCGAATAATTAGTCGGAGACAAAGTTAATTTTTAACACGTTTTATGGATGATAAAAAAGAAAAAAAAGATGAGAGAAAACAAAAGGCGAAAGTGACTGTACGTTATTAACATGTAGTGCACGAGGACGTGTTAAGTGTACAAAACGACGTTACGTATCGCTTTTGCCTTTCAGCCGATACGGTTTCCACTCGAGATGCTCGTCTGCAAAACGACGTTACACGTCCTCTCACGCCAAGAGGGCTCTCGACAGTTCGCGAACGGGGGAACCTCTATCCAAAAGTAATGCGCGCAAAGTGAAGGGACGCGCGCACCTGAGTACGGAGCCAATATTGATTGAGCGACGAAAGACCACAGCATCGGGAGGATAAAAAGTCCGAAGTGCGATTGTCGTAGGAAAAATTAATAAAACGTTATGGAGAAACGTCGGCATCGGATTCTGAACGTCACGTTCGTATGTAGTCGACGAAATGAAAACAATACCTGTAACGGTGTTCACGTGCGCAGGCCAATGACGATATTAACATCGAACGAACTGCGTGGTGATTTCTACGGTTGTGAAACGGTTTCCATTACACGTGGTAAAAAAAAATGTGGGAAAACCGCGCGTTGTTATGACGTTTTTGAAAAACGCTTATCCACAGAAAGTTCAGAAAGCCACGGAAGATTATCGGTCGCCGAGTAGTGAAAACATGCGTTTTCGTTTCGATTCAATTATTTTTATGTCGCGGTAAATTTCCGTCTGTTTTGCAACGGGTCGTACGTAAAACGTACTTCAAACCATAGACACCTGCAGAGTGGGGCAGGGGGAACAACCCCCCTAGCTTTTCAGCTATTTAAAATAATAATATCAAAATTAAAAATCTCAAAATCCCAAAAATCATAATTGGTACCAAGGTGTATTAATATTTATAACTGGTTACGTTCAACAATGTGTGAGAATCGTTTATCCGGATTATGTATGTTAAGTTAACACAGAAAAAAAATCGAAGAACTTCATTTAGCTGAAAAAGTTGTAGATGAATTTGAGGAAAATAAAATAAAATTGCAATTTATGTTCAATTAGTTAATAAAAGTGCTTAATTATTATAAAAGTGTTTGATTATTGATAAAAATTAATAGTGCCCCCCCTGAATTTTCATTTGTGGGCGTTAGGTGCATCACGCCCTCCGTCGCGCTATGATCGTCGTAAACGGTCGCGATGTGGCGTTTTAGAGATTGGCGTACGAACCGCGCGTAACACGTCAAACGACGTCCACTGGTCAGTTCGGTCCGGGACGTGAATCGACACCAAAACACGCTATATGTATATATGCAAACGTATAATCCAGGGGTGGGCAACTGGCGACTCGCGAGCCTTTTTTATCTGACTATATTTTCAAATTACATTATGCAATTTAACATTTATCGTCTATCGATATAATAAATGATATCTGGTACTAAACGTCTAAATGTCGTATATATTATGTATAGCTTTCAACCATAGCTGTTTGTACGGAATTATTTAAACATATCAGTTTCTTCATATCATTCGTGTCGTTCAGTCGTGTGTGTTGAATTTATTATTTCGGTGTATATAAATGGTAATTAAAATTCATATTTTGAATGACCCTTTTTTTTTCCTATACTGTGGCCCGCTGAATTTTTATTTTCTAAAAATTGACCATCTGGTAACTTTGAGTTGCCCATCCTTGATATATTAACCTATTGCCTTGTTTACACACGACGAGCATTTGGCCGAGCACTGCCCTCGGTACCAGTACTCGGTCCGGTAAAATGAGTGAACGACTGAATGGTTTATATTCAAACGACTACCCCCCTTCACTACCGAAATTGTCTGTACTCGTCGTGTCTCAGCTGTCGGTAATTTCCGATAACTAGAGACCGGATTTATATTCGCTTGGAATCTTAAAAATGAGATGCTCTCGTGCTTTATAATTTTTCGAAATAATCTTTTATACGTATAAATGTTCTTTTTTTGAAAAATATAATTTTTCATAAAAATATATTAAACTGTGAGAAAACTAAAAAAAGTAACAGTTTATAAAAATTATAAACGTTTCCTCAATTAAAGTAATTATAATATAATTAAATTAATCGTAACCTTAAAATATTATTCAAACAGTCGTATATAATCTACACTATGGTGATATACTGGTAAATATTGATATTTATATTTTACATGTGTGATTGTAACACATATACACTTATGTGACCATACGTCCCTTTTTTATCAGTATGTCCCGTTGTCCCGACAAACTTTGAATGGGACGCTTTTTGTCCCGTTTATAGAATAGGGTCCCGTTTTAATCCTGTTACTTCCATAAAAATTGTAAACCGAGAGTAAAAAAAAAAAATAAAACATGTCATATAGTATATATATGTATTACGAACTCATGTGCGAGACTTCTAACGAAATCAATATTAATACCAATAGTTTACCAATATACAGTACTATTTATAATCAACGATATTTGATATAATAGGTATATTAGGTATATAAATCGAAAAATCGAACATAGCCGTGCAGTAACGTGTATACATTGCAACGATCTTTTGTTATTAATGATATAGCCACTGTGTATCAGTACTTTTTATTTAAACTGTTGTGATTCTTTAGTATTATCGCTTTTATTGTTTTTTGAAAATGCCTAAAAGGAAATATACGCTCACTGTACATTTGCAGATTAACTAATGCAGTAATATAAAGAATATTTTCAATCAAAAATATTTTATTGACGAAAAAAAAAATCATTTTTTCGTACCAACAGTAGTCAAAGCAATAATAATTCTTAAAAATAATTTTAAAAAATATTCCTGTAATGATTTTTATGATTTTTTGTTAACACAACCAAAACTATTAAATGCAATCAGTTCATCAAAAAAATATGATATCAAAGGATGTAATGAAGAAAATTATGAACAAGACATCACCTCAATAAAAATAAAGAATATTTTAAGTAATTTTTTTCAATCTCAGAGCAAAAAAATAATGCAAATCAATGTTTTATTAAAATATTAAACTAATTAAAAATTATTTTTATTGCATATGATATAGAAGTTAAAAAATATGTGGTCTTTTTTTTAGAGAACATATCTGTCTCGTTTTTTTTTTTTCATAAATATAGTCACCTTAACTTAGTATCTAAAATTGAGATATATTTAAGAATAATATACATAAAATGTTTTAAATAATAAAAATAAAAACTAACTGCATATAAGTATCAAAAAATAGTACCAATTAGTGCAGTTGAACGAACAATTTTAAGTTCAAACATGTACCCGTATTGGAGCATTTACTCTACGATATTACGATGATATCGTGAAGTCACAAGCCGCACATGAAGAGCACCCTTTATCTATGAACATTCTACGTGCTTTAAGTTATTAGTATAAATGACGAATTAAGATCTATTTTAATTCGCGGTATTAGATTTATGGATATCAGTGAAATTTTTCTTTTTATATCTGATCTCTAATCACAGAAAAATTGTTTTTCTTACCAATATTATTTTCTCATTGCTTTGCACACTTTGTCTCCAAAAGGAAAAAAACTGACTGAGATTAAAAACATTTTTGCATTTTTATGTTAACCATTAAATTGATTATAAAATGTTAAAATTAAACCTCGATATAGCAATACGTTCCTAAAACATATTATTTTGCATATATATATATTCTTTAAAATTAAAATATGTTTTCTTATGCTCTAAAAATGTTCGTATACCAATCGATAAGAAAACGAATCGTCGAGAAAGCTTATTCAATAGGAGTTGCTTACTCTCGTTAAAAACATAGAAATCCAGTCTCTATTGATAACACTTGGCTGACGGTTTAGACACGCCGAGTACAGTCGATTTCGTTGGTGAGGGGAAATGGCTCGGCGAATAAATCGCGTACGGATTCGGTCGATTTGGTACTTGGCCGAGCGTTCGACTTTATACTGCAAACGACTCTTTACGCCAAGGACCCTTTTCCGAGAACATCTGATCCGCACCAGACAGGTACCCGCCCAGGTCCGGGTAACGAGGTAGCGGATCTTTCTCCCTTCCCTCAGTACCGTTGCGCACAGCTCGGTTTCGAACGTGGGGGGGAAAGAAAACCGTTTCCGTCTCATCGGAAGCAAAACCAGACGAAAACAACGGACTTACCGGAGGCCAGGGCCAGCAGCAGCGCGAGCAGGCAAACGAAGGCGGCGGCCGGTCTGCCCGTGGTGGCCGTGGCCGACGGCCGTGGCGGTTCCATCCGCGGTGCGACGCCGGGCCGCCGCGGCCGCTACTGCAGCGCACGCGGATCAACGGCGGTGCACGGGAAAACCGCGCGGAAAACGCACGTGTTTTTCTTCTAACTTTTTTTTTATCTCTCTGTCCGTCGTGTTCGAATCGCGCGAACGGAACCGCGGCGCTAATGTTTGTCACGAGCACGCGGTTCACGAACGAAAGAAACGATGTCCGACCGGTGTTCGCACGTTCTCGCGACCGGCACGAGCGCCCAGTGTTCGGTACGGTTGCCGACGTGGTACTGACTGTCGTGGCGGCGGCGGCGGCGGTAATAGTGGCGGCGATTCGCGCGCCGTCCTGGGCGTCCTTTCGCCCGGCGCCGACGAGAGGAGGTTGGCAGTGTAGCGACGGGAAAACGTCATCACCACCGCCGAAGTTGTAGGCCACGAGACGGACCTGTGCGGCGACGGCGGACGGAGAACACGTATCGTCTTGGAAAACTGCTTTCCGTTACTTTTTTTTTCCTCGTCTTCCGCCATGTATTTGCGCGCATTTCTCGAAATTCGATTTATCCTCTGTCGGTGCCTGCTCGTCTGTTGTCCTCTCGGCCGACACGCAGCTAACCCCAAGTAACGCGCAGACTTTTCGATTTCGTTATTCGCTCTCGTCACAATAAACACGACATCATTAAAACCTACGGATTCCGTACGAGCTGCACGTTGATCCGACCTCGGTGCCGACACAACGTCACGGCGTAGGTTAAACGTAGTCAACCACTCCCGGGGCCCATACGCTTTTGGTTTTTTTTTTTTTCATCAAATTAAACACCTATGCGGCACGTTCGATCGTTTACTCATATGACGAATCGCTAGAGCCAATAAAACGTGAAAGCGAAACACGAATATTGAATTAGAGCCCGCGTTGTTATCGAATAACACATCGGTGTAGAAAACGAGAAAGTACTATTATTCTCACCGTTTTTCGTCCATCGGAAGTAACAAAAAATATCATAGTTTTTAAACTATTGTTCACTGTTATATTTGTTTAGATCCTGCGCAAACCGGGCAACTGTTTTACATTTTTCTTACTTTTTCCGTTACCCCGAACTTTTCATTAGAATATCCGAACGAAAGGTTTCGCGCAACAATAAGTAATTTGTCTTGCTTAACAGAAATTCAACGAATAATCAGATTTCTTCAAATTTTCATTTTTTACATTTATGAATTATTTTTGCAAATTTTTCGTATTATTTTTTTTATTTTTTTTTTTAGTCTCGATTGTATGTGTTAACACTTTCAATATTTGAATAAAATAAATACTGTCAACTTCTAAGTTATACCTTTTTTTGTATAACTATTCGTCAATTTCTCTCAATTATTAAGAATACTATTGGGAAATTCGTAACTGATCTCATTAGAAACATGATTATGATCGTTGGAGCAATGGTTTTGGTCAAAATCTTGTACTCAAATATAAGAAAAAATATACATCATGATAAAACTAATACATTCCTCATATTACTCAGAATGTAAAAATCGTTAAGAAAATGTCTTAAAAATATATTATTAAATTAATTTTAATAGCTTTTAAACTTTAATTGATATAACATTATTTTAGGTTGCGTTTAAAATTCGACCGTTTAAATTGTTTTTTTATCTAGAGGTATTACTTGACTGAATATTTTTATAGTTATCAATGATCATCGAGATAATCTATAATTTGCTTATATATTTTAAATTTAATACCTTCGATAAAAATTCATTTCAGATTGTATTTATCACACGATTGCTTTTGAATAATACTACTAATACGATAAGGAGACTAAAAAATCGCTTTAATAATATCGTACAAAATGTTTTTTTTTTTTTTTATTCAATCGTGATAATGATATTACATACACTATGAAAATATACGTCGTTGTACCCGTATATCTCAAACGCGATAGATTTGTTTATTACAATAATAATAAACGTCTATCAACATTACGTATATAGTCCTCATTTTTGTACCGAATTATTATATAAATAAAATCAAAAGTGATAACAAATCTCTTAAATTATTAAATCAAAGTTCCATTAACACAGCAGAATCTTTTGCCATTATAACGGCCCTTAATCATATGAATAAAAATCCCACCCAAAATAATAACATTTTTATTGGCTATTCGAGTACCATACTGAGCGTACAAAATAATTTTCAACTAAATGAAATACCTAGAACAATAAAACATAAAATATAAGAAATGAAACAAGCGAACAAAATAACGTAACTTTAATGAAAGCGAAGAAGCATACCGTAAAATAAAAAACTACGTCAACAGAAATACCAAATCATAATCAAATATAATTTTCTGATCAAAAAAGCCATAATCTTATTTAATACTTGGAAAACTAATTATCAAAACAAACACCTGAATTAAACCAAATTAAACACAAAATAGAACCATGGACTCAAAACTTAACATTCAGAAAAATAACCAACCCAATAAGAATCAGCCATAACACATGATCATTTAATGAACAAGGAACCAACAACATGCACTTCATGCAACGAAATACTATTAATCAAGCATTTAATAACAGACTGCCCCTCAAACTACTCAGGAAAAATATAAAATATAATATCCCAACTAATATGTATGGAGTCAACGGACCAACAATCACTGTCAACCTCATCCCTTTTCCCAAGAATATCGGGCATGATAAATTAATTAACGAAATACATACAAAATACTTTATGTGAATTAATGTAATACGCACACATATTGGCATGGAAAGTGGTATATTAACTGCAGGTAAATACATATTTTTAGACCTCCTCCCCCAAAAAATACAAGTATCAAGTTCCAACATATTATTCAGTAGTTACACAATTTAAGTAATTGTATCAACGAGTCATAATTTGTACAAAAATAACAAAATTTAACTTTCAAAATGGAGATATTTTTATCTCTCCCTCCCCGCAAAAAAAAAAAAAAATTGACGGACGCAATTGCCCGTTTGAGACCCGTTCGCCACGCCACAGCGCACACATACAATAATGTAATTGATTGAAAAAAATTTATCAAATGGTCATTGCTACCGAAGTTATAATTTATATAAATAAAAAAAAAGTAAATAAAAATAATTTAAACTTCAATTATGCCCTATCATTTAGACCTTTACATGGTCGTAGTAAACGCGAGCTAGTACTGTGATATAAATGTAAAAAAAACTTCAATACAATCTATTATACTTAGTATATAGTTATACAAATGTGTATAACGTAACATAAGTTTGAGATGTACCACAGTACCGTGCGATTTTGTCTGAAGAATTTTCTTATCCTCAATTCAATAGTTTTCATGTTAAAATAATCATATCTTTGAATACCCGAGCTTAGCGTTTAAACTGTACCTATAATATACGTAAATAACCGCAATACAATGTAAAAATGATGAATATGTATACTCATAGGCCCGCTAACCGACACGCAGGCCCGAAAAATTAATCGAAAATCATTTTTATTGTTCTCGGCGCCGATGTGTTATTAAAAGGTTTGCCTTCAAACGACATTATTATGCATGAGGTTCGATAGCTTACTACGTACTTACACAGTTACTCGTCAAATAAAATATCATTCGTTTTACTGTCTATAGTAGTATGCCGTAAAACATCGTTACGTACATGCGCTCCGAAATTTAAAACAAATATAATGAAATACACACGGTTAGACCAAAATGGTAATTATGCAAAGCAACCGAAAACGTTAATTTACCGTGAAACATCAATGCGTGTGCATATGGAAAAAAATAACATAATTTCCGTTAGCACAAACATGCTGCATCGTTGTGCGTGTATATTTTTCGACTTCATAACAAAAAAAAAAAAACTAAAAATAGAAAATAACAATTCAATGTCAAGCGCGGGGTGAAATAATAAAATATTATGTTTACATGTTATTTCCCTTTGCCCTGTATGGCCGTACAGTCGCACACTAGCGTTTTCTATTTTGATTACCATTCACATAACTTTGCTGCTCGTATACATATCTGTATATTATATATATATACATTATTATGTTATAGCATTTCCTTATATTTTTACTGCTTCGTATGAAAATGTATATCGCTGAGTGAAAATTGTTCTGGGGACCGGGATGTACTACGAATTGGTTGACTGACAATATAATAAAACAGTCCCGATATCGTGTATTGTTAGAGATATGAATCGTTACTTACACAAGTTCTGAAGTTGGCGTGATGAATAGAAAACAAACGGATTGTATCAATCGTATCATTATTAAAGTGTTGGCAGAACAAGAGAAGAATATGAAAACGATTAAACACACACACACACACACATACACAAATACATCACACTATTATATTATATTCTTCCATCATGCGAATAGTGAACTGTTTGTAAAATCGTTGTAAATGTTACTTAAACGCATCGATCTATAATAATGCTGTTTGAAGTACCTAGTCATATTTCGTGTACAACGTAGGTCTTAACTTCGAACCAATTTCCAGTGTTCATTCGTACTTGGAACGTAATGTAAATTGAATAATATAACGTAAGTGACTCTCGTTTATTCAATTAATTTCTCGCGCACGAGTACCATTTGGTTCATATAGAAACGATCTACCAATTTACATATTTTATCCTGAGCTACTGACTTGTATCTTCAGAAAGGCATAACACGATGTGTAGTATGTAATATGGTCTAACTCGATAAATTGAAAGTAAATTTTAACGTTAATATTCATTTTAACGTTTACGCGTTTTGGTCGTTCAAATCCCTGAATACCACCGTCAAAACCAGTCGATTAAAATAAATGCATGATTTATATGAGTCTTATATTATTGATTCAAGTCTCCACGCCAATTCGAAATACCGCTGTATTAACGTAATCATAACGAGAACAACTACATTCATACAACGCACGATGATCGACCTCAAGTATATTATTAATCCTAAAATTTGTTCGTTCGAGTGATGAACGTAATATTTTGATGAAAGATATTTGATCACATGTATAGCCGAGTTAAGTTAGATGCTGATAAGCGCGATAACACTATTGCATCAAACGGAATGACACCGGTTTTGAACAACGGAATAAGTTTTCGCGGTTGGTTTGGAATGGTTTGATATTCGCCGTGTATAACATAATGAGTGGATAAAAGACCACATTTCACATGTTTCGTGTCGAGCACAGGCTAATGAGTTTAATTTTGTAACATTTGTAAATACTCTACTTTATAAACGCCATCGCGTAATATAAGTACATGACATGTTATAATAATATTCGTCGGAAAAAGACCACTGCACAT